AAACGTATTTAAAAAAAAAAAAGTGACACAAATATAATTTTTGGAGCTTTAAGCAAAGCCCTGGAATTTTAAGACTACTTCTACTGATGTTTTAGCAAACTCAGATGAAAGACTGATTTTAATCTTCTCAGCGTGCTTAGCATTTTATGTTTAACGTTATTTACCATCATAGACAGCTTGGAGACAGGGCCTCCCGCCACGCTGCTAGACTTGCCGCGCTCCTCAAGTTTCTCTGAGCACAACACACAGAAAGTCACCAAGCTGCAGAGCTCAACGCCGAAACCGCCTGTCGCGACGAGCCGAGGGTCGGGATAAACGCTGAACTGGGATAAACRCTGAACTCGGATCCGCTTCCTGACCAAACCGCGGCCCTCTCGGCCCGCGTTCCTGACCTACTTCCCAGGGGTTTGTGTAACAACACCACCGGGCATGGAGCGGGGAGCGCAGCAACACGCTTATTCAACAGATTTCCTTGCCCTGCGAGCAAGCCACCTGTGTCTACTCTGAATTATTGTTTCTTCCCAATAAATACATAAAAAGGAAGTAGATTAGCGAGGGCTTCCGCGCCGCGCAGCACGGCGGCTTCCGCCTCATCCCTCAGCGCCGACCCCGCACAGACCCCAGCCCCGCCGGCGGTTTAAACCGCCAGGGCCCCCGGGCGCGCGCACGTTGTTTCAAATTATTTTAAAAAATAACGGTGCCCCTGCGCGCAGGGCTGGGCGCAGCGCTCCCACGGGAGCCCCCAGCGCCTCGGGCCGCCGTCCCGCCCGCGCGCGGCGCCGCGGGCCGCCACTCACCGTCCCCAACGGCCATCATGCCATGGAGGAGGAGCCGCCGCCGCCGCCGCCGCCCGCTCCGCGGCGCAAGGGGCTCCCGCCGCGCCGATGGCGGCGGCGCGGTCACGTGGCGCCCGCCTCCCGTAATTACCCTGCGAGCGGCGCCGCCCCCGCGAGCCCGCGGACAGGCCGCGACGTCGCTTGGTGTCCCCGGGCGGCGACAGCGGCGCCGCCCGCCCGGTGTGTCCCCCCCTTCCCCCCCGACTGGCCCGGGATGCGGGCAGCGGGACGGAAAACACGCGAGTTCCGCCCGTCTCGTCTCATTCGCGATAAGAGCGCCACCGCGAACTGTGCAGAAATACGGCGAAATAACAAATAATTATTTAATTCTTCCCTGCGCTGGGAAACGGAGCGAGAAGCCGCTGTTTTACYGCACAAGTGCCTCCATGGAGGCTGGCCCTTGGGAAAAGTGAGGCCACGCAGACACCCGCAGCAAAAGGCGGCTTTCGGAAGAGAAAGAGCTCCCTGAGCAGAAGCTCGGGAAGCCAACCCTGCTGGAAACATCAGGAGAAAGACAAGGGCCTTTTCCCAAACCGTGCACGGGAGGGGACTGTGCGGCAGCACGGAAACTAAAATGAGAGCTCGCCTAAAGTCCGAACGCCAGCTTGTGTTYATTCCTACACTTGGGAGGTGCTGAGGGCAAAGGAGCCGGATGCTGCGCAGCAGCCGGCTGGAAAGGGCTCCCTGTTGGTCAGACAGGCGCTAATTGGGATGCCGGAGCTGCCGCGAGCTCCTCGGAGCAGCCGCGAGCGCCCGGCTTTCCCGCAGGCCGAGGAGCAGCCCTTGGCGCGCGGCTCCGTGCCCGTTCCCGGAGGGCAGCTGCACGGCCTCGCTGCGGCCCCGCGGGACTTCCCTCTTGGGAAGCGTCCGTGCGCGCAGCCATGGCACGGCCTCCATAGCAACCGCAGCTCCCAAGGGAAAACAAACAGCGGAAATGGGAGGAAAAATAAATAATAAAAAAGAGAGAGGGTAATCTATCATAAATAAATAAATAAATAAATAACCTAACAATTGTGTGAGGGATCTTTGTTTTCTGTTGTTTCTGAAAACGTGGCTGTACCTTCAGCTCCGGAAGGCAGCGCTCCCACCAGCAGTTACAGGGAACAGCCCGTCCCACCTATCGCCTCTCACCCTCGGGGAGCTCCAAGGCACGCGCTCAACGGGAAACCCACGGGCTGCGTAGAGACATGCGAGATACACGGAGCTTGCTCCACATTCCACGCAAACCGTTCTGCCTAGCGAATGAGAACGAGTGGGAAGCTCCATATTATCATCCCTGCTCTTCCCAGCCTGAATTCCCGGCTGCCGGAGCCTGTTTCAGCTCCCTGGCGGGGCCTGTTTGCACAGGCCGCCGCGGGCGCTCCGGCGGCTCCGCCATTGGCCGCTCCTCGCGCTGCCATAGGAACAGGGAGTCCTTCGCTGGAAAGCGGGGGGAGGCGCTTCCCAGCCCCCGGCCGGGCACGCACTGCGCTACGGATCCTTCCTTCCCCGGATCCTTCCTTCCCCTCCTCCTCCTCCTCCTTGTTTACCAGCGATCCGAGGCACCAACAGAAGATGGTCGCACAAGACCAAAGGGGGCTGTTYAGGCCAGGCCCTATCCCAGGGACTAGGGATGTTAAATCCCTGCTGTGCATGAGAGTACAGGTAGGAGGATCCGTGGTCCTTCCTCCTCTGCAATTCCCACACGCACCTAAAGATACCAAAACAATGCCTTTGAAACCTGCAGTGTGGGAGCCCTCCATGAGAAAAGCCTCCATCTTTAACCATTTTAGTGCTGTTCTGTAGCCTTTCAAAGWTCCCAATAAATACACACTAAAAAACATTTTTCTTCAGATGGATTCAAGCTGGGATTTTTGAGATTTTTCTTCTTCATTTAAGTGCATGTTAAATTAAGTGACTGAACAACTGCCAGAAGTATTCCTTGCTGCAAGAACCCCGGAGTCGCATCCCGGTGTTCTCAGAAAATAGGTCAACGCCACCAAGACTCGCTGCCGCAGCAGCAAGGCCTGCGGGGGCTACGGCAAGACCCTGCCTCCTACAGCCCTTCCTCGTCTGCTACACGCTCCAAAGGGAATCCTAGGCAGGACACGGAACCAATCTGGAAAAGTAACTCCGTCAAGCTAGGAAAATACTCCCTTCCCTGGTAAAAACCAAGGCTCACTGAAGAGCTTTGTCAGTCCAACCACATGGAAGTCTATCAAGATTCCTTTTTTCTTTGGACTGTCATTCTATTCCTCCTCCTTATCTTCATAATTTCCCACTCTAAAACAAACTCTCTCTCTTTTTTTCTCTCTGGAGTGTTTGTTTATAAATAATTAAAAAGCTTGCTTGTGCACATGTGTGTGTAAACAAACACACACACACACACACACACACACACATATATACACACAAACATATTTAGAGAGAGCATTTATTTTGGAGTAGGGAGATATATATACACGCACAGAATTTAATAGCATTGTTTTTAAAAAAGAAAGAACTTTCAACATTCTACCACATACTTTTGGACATAAAATTCTTGCCTCTATCCAGACACGTTTGATAAAGCTCCTAAGAGAAATGTTGATTAGCTGACTACAGGAATTCCATGGCAACTTCCAATTTACATATGGAAGCAATAAATACTAATTGTCCTTCAGAGAACAATGAAGCACTCAACCATGACAAAACAACAGCAATAGAGCAATATCTTTTTCACTAGCATTAAAAAATGATGAAAAGTATTCAAAAGATACACAAGTTCCAACCACAAATATTGAAACAAGTAGATCAGAAGGACTCTGTCTTCATACTACCCAAAACAGAAACACAGTATAAGACAAAAGCTTACAAGACAGAGCGATTTATACCACTGCAGATTAGCATTAATGCCTGTGATTTACAGTTGAAAAAAAGGGCTTAAAGAAAAACCCACTCAGTCAACTCCAGTGTGACAGGAACAAAAGCTCAGATATGCTACATTAACAACTTCAGCCATTAGCAGAGTATTCTTTTTTTTTTTATATATATTTATATATATATATGTAAATTATAGTCAAAGGCATTCAATTATATTCAGCGCATTTATAGGTGTCTGCATATAAACACACACACCTTCCCTCCCATAACTTGCTCAGTTAGAAGCTCAGAAGCTCTCCTATAACAAAGGAAAGGTTGCAAGTTCAGAGAAATGTGTTTCTATGAACTCTTCTGATTTTACACTAACAAGAGAAGGGTAAAGACGTAAAAATCAAAAGGTAATTGACCATTCAAAAGGTAACTGAACGTAATAAAAAATTATGTGCGTTCCTCAAAATATTTCTGTTCTTACATTTTAAACCTGGCAGTGCCTCCTTCTCAAGCAGAACAGTTGGTCTGAATAACAATGAACATCAGAAAATGTTCCCCTGTAAAGCAAGATCCAGTGATTCCTCACAGAAGAGAGAATTAAACTTTCAAAAACAAGCACAATAATATCACTGCCACCTTCACCTCCTTTGTTCAACTGCTGATTTCCACTTTTTTTTTTTTTGCAAAATGTAGTTTTCAACAACAAGTATAATTTTGTTCCTTTATACTATGTCATACTGTATAAAGAATGTACTAGGAAACAACAAGAAATCTCTGCCAAACAGATTTTGTTTTCATGAAATGTAGCAAAAAGAAGAGCTCAAACGCATTACCACAGAGAGGAGTTCCAAAGGGAAGTCTTAACTTCACCATTTCAGCATCTTTAAATACTAACTCCCTAATTTTATACTCCGTAAATACTCCGTGTTTTACAGTGATTATTTAACATTTTAACTGAGAAGGGATCAGACAAGCACATCCAATCTTTGTTTTCTTTTGGAAACGTACAGTAATATAGCACAGGGGCTTGTTTGATTGCCTTCCTCCTCCTGCAGGCAAGGATATAAGAGCATATCCTGAGTGCACACACAGCTGGCTATAGATCCACTGCTTCCTTCCAAGTAGTTTCAACACTTTTTCTTCCAACTGTACTCCGATTGCAGACTAGAAAGACCTCTAGTAGCACAGTATGAACAAGTTGTTTTTCCTATACTATTTTCATCACATTCCTACAAACACCTTTCTAGAGTCATCTCAACTCGATAATGCTAAAATGTACATTTACAATCAAATTTTAAGATTAATACAAAATATTTACGTTTTCATACTCACCACTGATGCTGCTTGAAATCATATTTCCAGAGTTTTTCACTTCATCAAATTTTGCAAAGATGGTTTGTAACCTGTAAAGAACAAACACAACATATTTGTCCACTGAAAATTCTCTGTTACTGATCAAAAACAGCAATCCACTTCTCACACATAAAGCAGTAATATAGCTGGAAGTTGGCAAATGCAAGGGATGATGAGTTTCTAACAACTATTCCCAAAGGACTCTCTTCCTCTTAAATTAGTTAAGTATCTTCTAACAAATGGATAGAAAAATTAAGTCAAGTTAGCAAAGAACAAAACTGAGTATGTCTGAATGTCTGAAATACTGAGTTGGCCTGTACTTTAGAGTTTTAAGTAACAGCATCCGCTTGCAAGCAGCTCTGATATTAGCATTTATGCACAGTACTAAAAGATAACAATTTGCAAATAAAATGCTTATGTGGGAAAAATGAGGACTACTATGTAACTTGTTCAAAGACAATTTCTAGTTTATATCAGAAGTCTGTTTCCATTTTCAGTTTAGTCAAACAAAACAGGAAATAAGGGAATTAAACTTAACCTCAGCACATGTTAGAATAAAGGTGATATCTTATTAGAAGAAATATAATGAAACATTACGCTCAAGATATATTAGTCTAACACTTCAACTTCTTTAATACAGAGACTTCGACGAGTTGCCTGGTGCCGTGAACATCACTACAGAGAGTCGTGCAATGTTCTGAGTTTGGCAGCTGCAAGAAGAAAATGCTGTTTAATCAAAAAACTTGGCCAACATCTGAACAGCCATTTCTCATCACTCCTGAAGAAAACATTGTAAAAAGTGATAGAATCTTGCAGAATAAATCAAATCCACAGGCTAGCAACAGGTCTGTACTGACATAACATTTGACTGCAAACAACAGAGAACATTTTCTTCTATTTCTCTAATGACTTCTCTTGTGTCTTAAACTTCTCTGAATATGGTAATGTCTAACCTGAACATGAATTTTACATATAAGACTAGGAGATTCAAAATCTGGACTTAAAACATGAGTCCTTAAATATTTCAATGTACTACTAAGAAGTCACAGCTGACAACTGCAGAAACAAGATTCAGGTACATCACCAGTGCCAGAGACTATTACTTATTCAAATTCATTAAAAGAGCAAATATTACAAGGTTCTGCTTACTACTCATAATCCAGACTGYGGATTATGACACATCAAGGATCAAGACTTTGGATTAAGACAAACCAAGGAAGAGAGGCACAAACGATGTTTGCGCATGAAAATCCTGTAGAAAGTTGCAAATGGAAGGAGGTTTGAGGAAATTTAACTTCAACGTTTCCATACAAACACAGTTTCTACTCTGTGTTCCAAGTAGAGGTTTAATGCTTTAACCCACCTTCCCTGACAAACTGTACAACCAAATTCACTCAGCTGCATCTCCTTTATCCAGCAACAAATGTGATAAAATCATGAACACACACACACACACAACAGTATGAAAACTCTCAGCACTTCAGCATTTCCAAATGTTTCATCTCAAGACTCCCCCACCCCAAGCACTTTAAAGCAATTCACTGAAGAACAGAATTTGTCCCGTACTTAGCAGCCACACAGGCGAGGCTGGCAATTTCACCAGAAGCCCTACCTTACTTCTCACATGGCCAAAACAAAACGAAATTCATCTCATATAAGTCCTAATGGCCTTTTAACACAAATCTAATATTATTCTACCTTCTCAATTTATTTCTCAAAACTATCTGTGACTCTGTGGTACTCTGCATAAGTTTCCCCCGTCGTAGTCCCTGCTCTTTCAGGGTCCTGCTCCCCTCTCCCTTCTGGGCCTCCCTTGCATTTACGCCCTTTGCAGCCACAGCCAAGTGGTGCTGAAACAGCAGCAATTCACAATGTCAGCCTGCAGTGCGTTCATCTTAAACCTCACTCTTTTATCAAAAAGGTCAATTTGTGAACCAAAGGCAACTTATACTAAAACGTATTTTTGCACTCTTTTAGATTTGGAAGAATATGGGAATAATTCTTAGTTTTCCCCCCAAACATTTAAAAGGAAACAGCACATTAAGGGGGTTGCATATACGAGGGGTAAGTGCTGGCACCTGGACATGTGAAACTTAAATGTAAGAATTACTCCCATGTTCTTCCAAATCTAAAATAAAACACACAAGACTATCGATATGTAAAGCACTCTGCCATCTTGCTTCCATAAAAGCAAGCCAATGAAAGCTGCAGATATACAAGAGGTAATATTTTTACTGTTTAACAGCAACTATGGATTTTAGCTTAACACTAGCAGATTCCATATTTAAACACTGAATTTCCAGATTGTCTAGTTAGGAAGCAGGACTTACATATTGAATCTGAAAGGCAGAAATTTAAGAAATTATCATTCTGAGAAAAAAGAAATATGAGAACAATAGGAATCAGGAAATTTTTAATTTTCACTTCTATTTTTAGTATCTTGTGGCACTGGTGGCATGCATTTGGGGCATATACAGGGGGAGTACATACATCCTTATCTATACATGCACACACACAGCTTAGACATTCCACCCAAAAAAATCCTGCTGCTTTGAATTCGGCTTTCAAGAATGCTTCATTTAACATCTTAAACGTAAGAGAAAAGGGAAATGCTTCCTTGTAGATACATTACACTAGTACACACATTGCTTCTCACTCCAGGCAAAGCGTCTGGGGAAGCAGCAACTCTGAACATTCGAAACCACGCAGATTTGCCAGGAGCAGATGCTGTGCAGTCACCGAGCCAGACTGGAGGACAACACTGTATTGCTACTCCTACAGGCTCTTAAACAGCTTGTCTTTATGGCTCCAGATAGAGGCAATCTCTATAGTATTTTGTCAATATTTTTTTTAT